AGTATGACAGAAATGGCAGAATGGCCAAAATCTCTGATCATAAAAGTTAAATGAGTCACTTTTCAAGACCACTTTCTCCTTGCGAGTCTGTAAGAAACAGAAGCTGGCAGTCAGTGAAATGGCTCAGAGAATAATGGCACTTGCCACCAAGCCTGAGAACCCACCATGGCACAAGGAGAAAACCAATTCCCACAAGTTTTCCTCTGACCATCACACTTGCACCATGGCACATGTGTGCACATAAAAATAAATAAATAAAAGAGAAAACACTATCAAAATAAATAAGCAAACATATATATATATATATATGAAACAGATGCTACAGTCACCAACTTAGATGAACCTACATCACTTGGGGACATAAAACAGTATCTCTGAAAAAATGTTAAGATTGCTACAAACACCAGGATCCAGGCAAAAAGTTGATAGTACCCCAATCTGAGTTATGTGAATACAGTTATTAGAGACAGTTTCTAAAAGTGTAGACAACTAAGAGGGTAACACAGTGACCCAGGAGCTGGTAATCAGCAGGAGCACAGAGAATCCTTCAGTAGACCAAGACCTAAAGGCACAAGACGAAGGATCAATTCAGAGAACTGGGAGAATTCAGAAAGAAGAGGACCTACAACTCAACCTCGGGACGGTCGGAGGGAGCAGGGACCTGAAGGATGGAGCGAACTGGTGCAGTATCTGGAGGGACAAGAGGAAGATTTCTATCACACACAGCTGCTAACACAGAGAACAAAACAGGCATTGGAAGCCCCAGACTGGAAGAAAGGCTGAAATGCATTTTCTAGGCAGCATTCTTAACAACACAATTTGTGTTTTTACTGGTGGGATTTACAAACTTCCTCATCATCATTTTATAGAACTGGCTCTTTTCCTTCACTTTTCCTTCTTGGATTTATTCTCTGAACTGAGTACTCAAAGGCAGCATCTGCTGTACCCCAAATGGTAGTATTTCAGAGTTCTTTTCACAGAACCTGAAATAAAATACAGAATGTCCTGGCCTACATTAGTTAATCTTCCATTAGAGAGCCTTGCTTGTTATTACTTTGCTCAACCAATAAGCTTAATTTACTCTTATCTGGCAGGCCTTGTCCTAGAAATGAAGCTATAATAGTCAATAAAACCAGTCCATCTCTGCCTTTACGTAGGGTTTAGCTATCAAGCAATCTGATCTGTAGTATTACCTACTCACTAGGAAACCTCAGAGGTGCTATAAGTCAGAAGTTGGCAAACCATGGCCCATGGGTCAAAAGAGGGTGTTGTGTCTCTATAAACTATGCTTTAATACAACAGACATACCCATTAACTTATGTACCACTACCTCTGCATTAGAAATTCAGAGCTGACTGGCTGCAACATAGTGTGGCCTTCAAAGCCTGAAATATTGGTTCTCTGGCTCTGGACTAAAAATTTGCCAATCTTTGCTCTAAATAAAATCTACTTCTTCAATAAAGAATGGTACGTCAAGGGGCTGGAGAGATGCTTCACCAGTTAGGAACACTGGCTGCTCTTGCCCAGGACCCAGGTTCAGTTCCAGCACCCATGAGACAGCTAACAACCATCCATAACTCCAGTTCAAGGGGATCTGACACCCTCTTCTGGCCTCTCTGTGTGTACTTCCAAACATGCTGGCAAAGCGATCATACATTAACAAAAAGAAGGATGGTGTGTCAAAAGACATATACAGTTCTTTAAAAAAATCCTGTTGTAAATTTTACTTCTTTTGTATGTTCTTTTGCTGCTAAAGCAGGTAACAAGAAAGAATCACATGGATAATATCTTCCGGGAACAGCTTACTTTCTTCAAGTGTCTTCTATTTTATTGTCTTATATTTTATCTAATCTCAATTGATCACTTCTTCCATATCACAGAACCCTTTTTAAGAAAAGGTCCTTTTTATGAATCACACCAAACAAATTTTGAGAGCGGTGGTAATTAGACAATTTTTTTAAACTGAACAACAAAACTGATTGTAAAATCACATAGCCAACACTCAGTGCTACACAAATGCCAAATCATGGCAGCAACAGTAATTCTGCCTCTCTGCAGATACATGAGTGGATGCTTATTCCCCAATCACTTGACCCAAAGAGCATTAAAATTTAAAAGAGAAAAAATAGTACTAGCTTTCATTAGCTGTTGGCAGAAATTCCTAATAAGAAGTGACAGGCACTGTGCTTGTTGAGGGTCCTTCAAAGGATGCTAAGAGGCTAAGTCCATGGTGGCTGTGGCTGATCATCGATTTACCATTCCCAAAACCTTGCTCTTCTCCTAATGGGAATCACTGGAGCGTGAATCAAATTAAATGGCCACTTGAGTACACATTTAGTCTCCGTAAGGCAGCAATAACAGGCTTGAGAAAGATGCCTACAGAGGTTTGGTTCTTTAAAATTTCTGACTCTACCCAACCCACCAGCAGGGGAGCCCAACACTGAACAAAAAAAATGGGGAAGGAGTTGATGGTAAGGTAAGACTGGCGGTATGGTTGACTTGGTAACAACAGGGATCTCCTTTAGATATGATCTAAGTATATATTATCCTTGATACCCTCAGGCCATGTCAATCCCTTCTGGTGCAGATGCCCCTAACTTTTCACATTCTTTCATATCAAGTATCACAAATGCACCTTATAGTCTGTTATTTATTAGTTCTTTGACATCTATGTCCCTCCATAGTAAGATAACGCCACCGGGTCACAATCCACCTGCAGCGAGCAGAAGTCTCTATGTCGAACACGTGATGAAAAAACATTAGGTACTTGACATAACAAGAGATAGGAAAGCAAGCTAGAGCTCAAGCCACTCAGACGGCACATGCGAAAACTGTGGGTATTCTGTGATACCGCCTCAAAAATAACAGCCAATGTCTTTCTGTCCTTATAAATCATTAAGAATGTTCTAAGAACATGTACCAACTGCATATCAAATCTTTGTATCTTCTCTACTACGTCTCTCTTCGTAGTTCTTTGGACCTCCTCCTCTGGCTGACATTGTAGCTCAGTGTTAGAGCACTGTCTAATATGCTTGAAGCCTTGGGTTCCGTCCCCAACACAGAAAGAGAAAAATCAGAGTAAACTCAACCAGTCCTCCTCTGTACTGACTTCTACCTTCCATATAGCATCCTCAGGTTGCTCTCACCATAGCAAAGAAAAACAGATCAACATCAGACCTGAAACTCTGAAACTGTTATGAGGAAAAGTAGGAAAGGCACTTAAAGATATAGGCACAGGCAAGGATTTAACAGGACTCAAGTCACTCAGGAAATAAGGCCAACAATAGATAACAAGAACTTCATGAAATTGGAAAGAAACAAAAGAAACAGACTGAGGCAACAGCAAACAGAAGGAGAGAAAAGTCTCTGCTAGGTATACATAGGATTGATAGCTAGAAAATACAAATACAAAAAATTAATAAGAGACTAAACCACCCAATCAAAAAATGGGCTAGTACATGAACCAACAATTCTCAAAAGATGAACTACAAATAGTCACTAAACACATGAAAAAAATTGAACCTCACTAGTCATCGGAGAAATGCAAATCAAAACTACATTGAAATTCTATTTTGCGTAAGTCAGAAAGGCAGTCATAAAAAATAATAACAGCAAATGCTAGTGAGGATGTGGACCAACGCGAACCCTTATCCATTGCTATGGCAATATAAACTAGTCCAGCCACTGCAAAAGTTAGTACGACGTTTCTCAATAAAGTAAAAAGCAATCTTCCATATGACCTCGCTACGCTACACCACTCATGAGTATTCACTTAAGTGACTCCAAGTCAAAACAGCACAGAGATGCTTGCACATCAATGTTTATTACAGCACTATTCACAATAGCCAAATTATGGGACCAACCAAGTGTTCACAGCAGAGGAACGGAGAAGAAAAGGTGGTATGTGCTCAACACCATATTTTCCAGTCATGAAAAATGAAGTCATGTCTTTTGCTGGAAAACTGATGCAAATGAAAATAATCATGTTAAGTGAATTAAGCCAATCTCAGAAAGGCAAATACTATGTTTTCTCCCATTCACAGTGGCTCCTAGATTTTATAGATACATAAAGTCATGTACGTATACTTTTTATTAGATTTTTTGTTTGTTTTTTTAAGACATGGTCTCCCTGTAGCCCCAGTTGACCTGGAACTCATTACATAGACCAGTCTGGACACCATCTCACAGAGACCCACCTGCCTCTGCCTCCTGAGTGCTGGGATTAAAGGTGTGTACCACCACATGCAGCTCTCAACTCTAAAAAACACTCACCTCTGGTTTTATTGATTAAATTGATCTGGATGTAAACTTTACCCATGTTTCCCTTCAACTCATTCTCACCTTCTGTCTTTGTGGCCCTGATGATGAGGGGTCTTACTGAGTTCTTCTCATGTGTGAATTTTGTTAATATAAAAGTACCGATTTGTTTTCTATGGTTCCTCTTGGAATTCAAATCCAAAATAATGTCTGCAATTCCTTCAAAGCTTTACCCAACTCAATCCAACTACTTCTCCAGGCTTGTTTTCTGCTACTTTGGACACTAAAACTGATTTTTCCACAGACAGCTTTACCCGCATTAACCACTTCGTCTATACTATGTCCCGCACTCCCTTTGCCTCAGAGTACACTTCAGTCCTAAGGTGCCATCCCCAGTGAGGTCTCTGTCGCGTTCCCACATCCCACACTGCTTTGCTCTTAGACAAGAACTCCACCCTTTAGGGTAAACGGTTCTTATGTATCTACGTCTCTGCTTCCGAGGGGCTTTAGGTCAGACAGGATGCGTTTGTTAAACGTGTCAGAGCCTAGAGAGAAGAGGGCCAGTGTGCCCGCTTTTAGCACCCTCAACACTGTCCACACCCGAGGGCACTTGCTCAATGGAAGCTCTGATCCATGAATGGGTAACAGTCCCCAAAATGGCCTCTCCGCCAAGAAGCCACGGAAACCATATTGATGACCAAGCCAGAGGGCTCAGAACATACCAAAGAAATCCTCCCGCTCCCCGGATGATCCTTCCGGGGAACCAGATGCAGTCTCCGTAACCAGGGAAAGACAGAGGCCAAAGCCTGGCTGGACCCCGGAAGACCTCGAAGGGCGCGAGCGGGGAACCCAGCCCACCTCACGAGGCACGTGGCGTCTGAAGGAAGGAGAGCGGCCGAGGAGAGAGCCGGTCTGAGCGCACCTACCTTGGGCTCGCGCGCGGGCAAGGCGCCCTCAGGCGGCCGGGGAAAGGCGGGCGCCCGAGCTGCAGGCCATGAGAGAGAATGAGAGCGTGCCAATTGGAGAGCCCCGGACGCCTCACCGTCGGGAGCCTTCGCGGGGACCACAAGTCCCAGAAGCCCTCGCGCCGCGAGGCTCGGCGGGACTCGCGGGGCTCGGCGGGGCTCGGCGCGTGGTCCCCTGCTCCAGAGCCAATGGCTACAAGCTGCAGCTCCTCCCAGGAGCCGTACTCCTAGCGGCCTCCCTCCTGAGGAGCGTCCCCTGGGGCTGGTCAGAGTAAATCTGAGAAGCCTGCCTGGGAGAAGAGCAATGCGCCCCAAAACTTCTCACCCGCCGGGACGCCTCATTTTCGGTGAGGCACGGGCAGGAGGAACAGTTGGAAAAACGGTTTTTCTTTTGATTGGTTTTGCTTGTTTCCAAAAGCGATTTTAAACTTTTGCTTCCTGAAGGGCTTGAAATTATTAAACAATGATGTTTCGCTCTTGTCCGCTTCTCGGGATATTTTAATCTATATTCTTAATTTATTTTATATATTCTTAATCTATATTCTTAGTTCATTTTTTTTCCCCCGCATGGTTCCGGAGTTCTTATGTTTTAAGATTCCAATTAGGTTCTAAGCATCCTGAAGGGAGGCTCTTCAGTCTTTAAGAACAATGCTTAGTTGCTATTAGAAGTTTCAACACTTGTAGGATAAAATATCTAGTACTGTAAATGCAGGTTGGTGCAGCTTATTTTCCGACATGCATGATCCTTTATTAACATCCATTTGCATCCAGTCAATTATTGTAAATGTCTTGAACATTGCTTTATTCCTCTGTAGTTTAAAAAAAGTCAAGCGGGGCAGCACAGGCAGGCAGATCTCTGTGAGTTCACGGCCAGCCTGGTCTACATAGTGAATTCCAGGACAGCTGGGGCTACAGGGAGACCCTACTTCAAAAAAGACCAAAAAAAAAAAAAAAAAGTCAATGATTTTTAATCTATTGTACTTTGATTAACATAGAATTTTTCATTAAACTTGCAGTAGTGAATTTCAGGTAAACTAAAATTGAATTATCTTGAACTCTAAATTAATGAACATTAATTTAGTGCTTTACTATAGTTGCTGTTCTTTGAGAAATGTAAAAGAAATTATTGTTTCTCTCACGAAGATCAAGAGTCTAGTAAGGGAGATGTAGCAAAGTTGCCTTGTGTTGCTGAATATATAAAATTCCATTTTAATTCCGTTCGTACAATCATTGAGCACATCAACCTATATTATGTGCCAGGCACAGGATAAGACCTGATTACAGCCCTACATAAGGCTCACAGTCTAGTACTTAAAACAGACAGGAGTAGTAGTCATCAAAATAAGTACAGGCACTGAAATCCTGTAGGAAAGCTCAGCCTCAGTTAACAAAATCTTACTTTTTTATCATCTCACTATCACTAGTGAAATACAAATGGGCAATCAGGGGCTGGAGAGATGGATCAGGAATTAAGAGCACTGGCTGCTCTTGCAGTGGACCTGAGTTGGGTTTCCAGCACCCACGTGTTAGCACCCAAACAATTGTCTATAACTCCAGTTCCAGGGGATCCAACACCCTCTTCTGACCTTTGTGGGCATTGCAGAACACAGGTGCACTTACATACATGCAGGCAAAACACTCATACAAATAAAATTAAAATATATAAAATTTTTAAAAGAGCATTCAACCCATGTTTGTTGGATAAAGAAATTAATGGTTTCCAGTTGTGTTTTATTGTTTAATTATGTGCATTTCTTTAGGAAACTTTAAAAAAAAAAGTCACAGTTCAGCTATGGGGGCTGTGGCTAACTCACTTTTCTAAATGGGGTTTATTAAAAAGCAGAGGAAGGAGAAATGTAGAAGTACCAAAAGGATTGTCGCTGGGGCAGTCATTCATTACATTTAAATGAAGAGAATTTGGGTGCTGATTGAGTGACAATGAGAAAAGAAAATGTGCTTTTGTCCTAAGACCAAAGTTGTTAAATGCATATATATGTGTGTGTGTGTGTGTGTGTGTGTGTGTGTGAAATTTAATAGTTATCTTAAAAGGTGAAAATGTGAATTTATTAGCTTAATTTAAACCAAAAATAAATAAATAAAATAAGTACAAATATGTAATGAAGAGGCTGGTATAATGCTCACCAGATAAAGGCGTTTGCCACCAAACCAGACAACTTGAGTTCAGTCCCTGGAAACCACAGGCTGAAAGAGAAGAACCAGCTCCCACAAGTTGTCCACTGACCTCCACATGCCACATGCATGTACACACAAAATACATAAATGTATACAAATTATAATCAAGGAGCAAAAGTAGCTCTAAAATAATCTCATCATTAAGAACAGAGTATGTGAATAATATCAAAATAAATGTGAATTGTTTACAACATTGTTTAAAAAGAAAGAAGAAAAAGCAAAGAACACATTTTGTAGACTAGGGATGAGGTGGGTGCATGGTAGAGCAATTGCATTGCCTAGAATGTTTGGCAGCTGGAACTCAAATCCCTAGATTTGAGCACTAGAAAAACAAAAACAAAAAAGAAAACAATCACTTTGTTATGTAATATACAATTGTGAAAATAATAGCTGTTCTGTCACAAAACAAGGAGTGGTACCATCAATTACTAACAGAAGAAAATTAGTAGTTTTATGTTGAATTCAAGTGGTCAGCAAACATTTATTGTATTATGTACTAAGTAAAAGCAAGAACAGTGCTGTCCCCAGTGTCTTTGCAGCCTAATGAGAGCCAAATTTTAGCATCAAATACCATTAGTAGTGTTAGAGTAGCAAAAATGGGTGGTGGTATCAGTTTAAGTTATGCTACATAGATGGGTGGAATACCTAGTGTGTTAATGGGACAGTGACCTTTTCCTGCCTGGAATCCTGCCTCCAGACACAGACTTGTTGGTCCTCTGTAAGTCTTCCCGCTCTTCCAAACTCTTCAAAAAAGGGTAATGTCTCTTTTTCTTCTTCATATCCCTTTTCTAAGCATGTTTTCGCTAAAACTTCAGGCTGTCCCAGCACCTTATATTTCTTGACTTTTTCTCTAAAACTTCTTTCTCCCATCATGTGTTTGCCAATCTGTCACGTATCTGACCTCCCTGTAGGCTCTAAACCTGCATGGCTTCCTGGCATTTTCTGTTCCTCCCTCCATTCTCCTCAAGGCAGCTGCTGGGATTCCCAGTTTGCCTGCCCTGAGCATTTTTCTTTAAATTCTAATAAAATTGTCCTAGTGCTTCCATTTGAGTCCATTCTTACGTTCTTTTATGAATGAAACTAAGAACCCTCTAGGACCGGCTATTTCTCCCTTGTATCCTTAGTAACTAGAAATACCAATGCATTCTGTATCAGTGGTTATGGACTCCTTGATGCAGTTAATTCTCATATAATCTTTATAGGGCAAGCATTTTTAACATTTATTTTGCAACAAGGAAAATGATTCCTGTATTCATTCAAGGACATCCAGCTTGCTGGTGGTGAGGCAATGATGTCGGTCTTACTCTCTTTCCTCAAAGTGAGCACACTTGACTTGTCCACTGTAGCACATCGAGGAAAATGGCTAAGCAGTCTCTAGTTGCTGACCTTTAATATGATTTTCTAGGCTCTTGATGCAGTGTAGAATCTTAGCATTGTCTTGAGGATGGTATCTGCGGCATCTAGCTCCACGATTCCTTTAGTCTGTTTGTCTTGGTTAGACCTGATGACATTCACACCTACTTTTGTTTAATGTTCATATTGCTTGTCATTATCGTATTGGCAATATTTTCTAAAAATGGGTCTAAAAGTCCAATATAATTTCAACCAGATCATAAACCCATAGTAAAATTCACATGGCTCCAAATGGTCCTAAATATGATTTTCAGTACCTCTTGTCGACACAAAATTAGTCATTCATACTGCCTTTTATGTCATTGTTGACATACTCAAGACCATCTTGAAACTCTCCGCTCTTGTCAACCTTGCTGACAGTGAAATGGTGGGTGAGTGAATCTCCTGACTCCAGCCAGGTTATTTTCCATTCTCCCTCCAAGAATTGGGTGGGCAGACATCAGAGGGAAGACAAAGGTTATTTGCCACACAGGAGTAAAGAGAGACTCTCAGAGGCAAGAGGATATCAACTGAGAGGTGTTTCAGGACTAAGTCCTCAGCCAACTTCAGGAAGCCCAGCTGAGAAGTTGCAGATTTTACAAACCTATGCTCAGAGTCTTTGGGGTGCCAGCTGAGAACATGCCCTGACAGTGCAAGAATGCAGGTCGCCAAGAGGGACAGGAACAGATCTACCTGTCTCAGTCAGGTCTGTGCTGACTAAGGCAGGAATGCGTCCCTTTGCCTGATCAAGTCCTGGAGGCTGATTTCAGCAAGCTCCCTGCCAGGGCAGAGGGAGCCAGTGAGTCCATCCCCAGGGAGCTCTTGACACCCTGGGAAAGGAGTGTGGGAATCCTTCATCCTTCTTCCAGTCTTCCTCCTCTAGCTGTTCCAATGTGAAAGTGGGTATGGAAGTCCAGGCTCAGAAGAATTTGCTGAAGAAACAGCTGGGTCCTGGTGGGCAAAGTGGGCGTGCAAATAAGGTGAGATTTACAGCCCATCCTGGAAGACCTATAAACAAAGTTTCTGCCTGTCCTCTGTTGTTATGGTAATCTCTGCAGGCTTCCTCCTGCTAGGGAATGTTTATTCACTCTGGGTCACTGGTTCTGGAAAGCCAGAGCTTTATTACAGCTGAAGGTTTTGAGGGTTCTTTCTGTTGTTTGTTTGTTGTTTGTTTGATGGCTGCTGCTGGATTGATAGTTTCCGCAGTCCGCTGTTTGTCCTGGGGCTGGAGTCTCCCTACCTATCAGAGTCCTGCAGTGGTTAGGAAAGTGCACACTGTGCAGCCCTCCTACTCATAACTCTATCTTTGTTTTAAAAAGAGCAAAA